GTGGATTTTTCCTGAGAAAATCTTTCATTTATCTGGACTAATAGAAGGTTCAGAACTGATTATAAAACAGAAATGTTAATTAATCATCATAAATGTTTTGCAGTGATTTCTCTTAGAGTCTATCAGAAGAAAACTGAAAAGAGGTTATCATATCATGTTGTTGAACAACCACAGAATTTTTCTGGCTTGGACTGAAACAGATGAAAGTTACCTGGAAAACACCTGTTCGCCAATGACCTGTAAGCGAGCCGACAGCAGTTCCCTGACTGATCGGAGGCGAGCCAGCTCCTACCCCGAGGGTGCCTTAAGAAGACATCGTCAGGTAAAAGCTGATGTGTTCAGAGTGACGTGTCATGTGGACCCTGAGCTTAGAAAAGACGTGCAGTTTCCGGTTGACCCACACTTTGATAAAAGTAAAAGTCGTAGTAACATACTAATCTTACTTTCCTCCTTTCCTTGTTCTTAATTTGCCAAAACTTAAGCTAAAAGAGACAGTAAAATTGTTTGGTTGTTAACATCAGAACTGACGTTTTACTGTTCTATATAAGTAATCTGAGTTGATGTGAAGTGAAATTCAGACGCAGGTTTTATCTCATTAACTCTGACGCTTCATATAGGAATAATCACAATCAGGTGTAACTTATGATCTGTTCAATTTGTGTAAATAAATGATTGCATAGTCTTTTATGAATCAACTTGAACTCGTCTGAAAGTTCACTTATTGTGTCACTTTTCACTTCGCACAGTCAAGATATTAACAAGTAATAAGAAATACCTTGGTAAAAGTTTCCTCATAACCTTGTGTATGAGAGATGTGGGAAAAGTTTAATTCACCTTAAGCTCACTCCTACATCAGCAAGCTTATGGAGAACATGACATACTAAAAACTGAACCAGTCAAAATAAACCTAAAGGATGATGCTGTGTACGCTGTACACACTGCATGCCGCATACCATTTCTCTTCTACAGAAAGTTAAAGAAGTAAATAATGTAGATTAATGGTGCCATTGAAAGAGTTACACAACTGAATGGTGTGCTCCCACGGTCCCCATTCTTAAAAAGAGCTCAGGGAGAGCCTGGATCTGCGTCGACCTAAATCAGTTAAGAGGGAGCACTACATATTGCCCACTTCAGATGAGATACCCTCTAAGCTAGAAGGAGGAGCTACAGTATTTTCTGCTCTTGATGCAGCCAGTGGATTCTGGCAAATCCCCCTGCATCCGCACAGCTGCAGAATAACAACTTTCATCACTCCATTTGGCAGGTACTGTTTTAAGAAGTTACCACTTGGCATCACCAGCACACCTGAGATCTTCCAATGAAAAATGCTGTTGATTTTGGAGGGGCTACATGGTGTAGAAGTTTTCATAGACGACATTCTGGTGTGTGGAGCAACAAAAGACCAACAAGATGACCGGCTAGAAAGGACGCTGCAGCAAATCGAACTGGCTAAACTGAACAAGGATCAATGCTCTTTTGGACAGAGCCAGCTGCTTCCTTTGACATGTGGGGTCACATCAACACATAAAAGCTGGAAGCTATTCAGCTGGTGCCACCGCCTGAAAATGTGCTGGAGCTTAAACGAGTCCTGGGAACGGTGACCTACCTCGACAGGTTTGTTCCCTCCCTTGCCACAGTAGGGCTACCCTTGTATGAACTGTTGAGGAGTAAAAACATCTGGATCTGAGGCCCTGCGCAGCCGTCGGCCCTTGAGAAAATAAAACACATGCTGGCCACGACTCCAGTCCTTGCCTTCTATAACACCACAAAACCCACAGCAGTTTCAGCAGACGTAAGCAGTTATGGACTGGGAGCAGTGCTGCTTCAGCTTCATGGAGAAAAATGGAGGCCGGTCGCCTACTGCTCCAAACACCTCTCAGAGGCTGAAACACGCTACGCACAGATAGAAAAAGAATGTCTGGCTAATGTGAGGGCTTGTGAGATGTTTGACAAATATCTTTGTGGTCTAGATCAGTTTAGGCTGGAAACTGATCACAAACCACTGGTGCCATTAGTAAATAATCAGAGCATTGATAATGTTCCTTTGAGGTGTCAGCGTCTTCTCACGAGACTTATGAGATACAAACCTGAAGCAGTATACTGTATGTACCAGGAAAAATACTTGTCGCTGATGCTCTGTCTTGAAGCCTACTGTTACATGACAAAGAACCGAGCGACATGCACACAGGGATGGACAGTTATGTAGCTGCTTGTAATCCAATGCATCCCTGTGAAGAACCCCAAAACATCAGCAAGCGACATCATCAATGACCTCCACAGTGCGGGGGGGAAGTATCGAAATCCACCATTCAAAAGACTTCAAGAGCAGAAATTTAGAGGCCATACCCAAAGATGCAAACCACTCATCAGTAGTAAGAATCAGAAGTCCAGTTTGAAATTTGCAATGTACAGAGATAAGCCACCAAAGTTCTAGAAGACAATCTTATGGGCTGATGAGACCAAGATTGATCTCTAACAAAGAGATGGAAAGGCCAAAGTGTGGAGATGATTCGAAGCACACAAGTTCATCAGTGAAACATGGTGGAGGTAATGTCATGGCTGCTTCTGGAACAGGCTCATTAATATTTATTAATGATATACAGTATAACTGATGATATCTGCAGAACAAATTCTGAAGTGTACAGAAACATTTTGTGTGCCAATTTATGAAGAAATGCATCCAAACTAATTGGGAGCAAATTTATCATGCAGCATGACAATGACCTAAAGCAAAATGCCAACAAAACAAAGGTCTTCAGAGGAAAGAAGTGGAAAGTTTTACATTGACCAAGTCAATCACCTGACTTTATAACACATTCTCACTCCCGACTCATCAACATATTGATGCTTTTCCGAGGTTCCCTCTGCGTCTTATTTTGACGCGTCGGGTGACCCCCTCGCATCAGTTATTGCCGCCCGCGGCTTTTCCGGGTTGCGCCAAAAGGGGTCTTTGGGTCGAGGGGCTGAGGTTAATATGAGGGATCAGGATAAATGGTTAAGTTTAGGTACTGGGGTCAGGGATAGGATGTCTACAGCGAATATTAGGTAATTTTAGGCTTTGGAACACGTAGTTGACGTGAATTTCCTACATTTTCTAAAAATGGMTAATTTTAGGTACTAGGGTCAGGGGCAGGAATAAAGTAGTATTAGTGAATAAAGATAATTTTAGGCTTTGGGACAGCAGTTTTTGTGCATTTTCTACACTTTCTGAAATTATGACAACAGATCCCGCCCCATTTCATCAAATAGTAATGCAAGGGCGTACCTGACTCGTCAAAATCGGACGAAGAGGGAACCTTGGAAAAGAGTCAATGGGCCTCATGCAAGAACATGTTCGTATTCTTCTCCTAAATTTCTCTTACTTTTGTTCGTACAAAGGGTTCGTACGAACATGTCACMTKAGATTCAACAAACTCTTCTATCTTCAGGAAAAGTGTGTAAATGAGCTGCYTAAATTCCACCTGTTTGTATCCAGCTGCTCGTGCACACGAGAGGAGATTAGCATAATTACCACCCCAAAAACACCATATAAGGCTGTGTTTCCTGCCTCAGATACAAGGAAGTGTCCATTCATTCATGAAAAATGACAGCGAAAACTGAAAAAATAAAAACTTTACGAGTTCAGAGATTGAAGTCCGTCTGTCAGAGATCCAGAAAAGAAAATCTGTCATTTTTAGCAGSTCAGCTGTGGAATAAAAAGAGCTGCTAAAAGTGTAAACAACTGTGTTAAATCATTTTCATTTATTCAGAAGCRGCAGCGCTGCTCACTTGGGAGTGAGAATGGGTTGATATTATAGTAGAGGTAGTCATGGGATATTTGATAAATTGATACAATCTGAGTATTTGTGGTCTTATAAATTGTTCAAACCTACATGTGTGTTGAAATATAGTCTAAATACTGTATCTCCTTTAGTTACTTTAATTTCATGTTTAATTTTAAAATAGWTCTAATATAAGGTCAACTATCTGCACTACAGCGCCTTACATAGCCATTGGGCCATTGGATGGATTGACTGACTGTTAGTGGAAATAAAATATTTCTGCAGAGGACTATGGAAAATTACAACCTAGTAATCAGGGCAACTATTGGTGGGCTAATATTGGTCCCACTCTGGGCACCTCTGTAATAGAGCATGAATTTCACCTCCTGAAGAGTGAAGGTAGAAACCCCCTGAAACAAACAAGAACTGAAAGAAGCTGTGGTAAAAGTCTGGAACAGCATCACAAATGAAGAATCAACAGTTTGGTGTCGATGGGTCGCAGGACTGAGGCAGTCATTGCAAACAAAGGTTATGCCACCAAATATTAAAAAGATTACTTGCTCTTTTACTTTTTGCTCACCTAAAACTGCTGTGGTGTAATACAAACAGATATATTCTAAGTTGTTTAACACATATACATGTAAATACAAGCTGACACTAGGAACTCTTGACTCATGCTTATCTGTTGATCTTAAACCCAAATGTCTTCAGTGAATAACAAAAACAAGGTCATTTGACTTGTTCCACTACTTTTGGAGGGGACTGTATATAATAAAATACCTGTGCTGGAAACCCTTGCATTTGATGTGTCATGGACTAATAATTTCTGTATCACTTTGACACTGACCACTGTTCATATCTCGTGATATCTTCCAGACGTCAGCATCAAGTTGACCTATTTTCACGTAACAGGATGAGGCAGGTTGTGATTGGTTGTTCATTATCACATGATGTTAGCTGAGAGTATAACATTGCTTGCCAGCCTATGACGGGCGGGCCCACATTCAACAGACTTCCTGATTGTTTTCTGTTCTTTGTCTGCCCATTAATAAATGATTTTACGACCATACACGCAAGACTTTTTGTCTTTTTGACATCCCTTTTACGTGTTTCTGCCCATCTTCCCACGACATGATGCAAAACTAGACCACATGCAATCATGGGCTAGTGAAATACACACGTTTGCATATTGTGCAGTAACTACCATGTTAAGAAATGAACATACAAACAATCAGTGCATTTTTTGTTTTCCCAAATAGAATTATTTAATAAAGTTAACATAAATTACATTATCTCTTCCAGCAGAAAACAATAGCAAATATCCAATGATTTTAAAAAAGCTGACATTATAAATACCCCCCAAAGTCCAAAGAAAAATATTTGACCACTTCATCTGTCAAACATGGTTTGAAAATCAACATGTAAAAAAATAAATCAGAAAATAAAATAAGAAATCAACAAAATAAATATATGCACTTAGACTATAATGATCTTAGACATCTCAATGTGTTCAAGTGCTCCTCAAAACAAATAAGAAAATGTATGCAAACTGAAGAAATATGGATGGTGATTAGTTTCACTCATTATGGATATCAAATATTTGTTTATTGCACATTATGGCATCAAAGTTTCTCCCCATAAATGAATCTATCTTTGGGTAGTTCTTCATCACAGCCTCTCCGAATGATTAAACTCCGTTCTTCACCAGCTCATGGACTCCATGCTCGTTTATCATCAGGGCTGGACAAAAATCACGTCCCTTTACCAGTTCTTCAAGACCCTTCAAATGCAGTAAGGTAAAAGACATAAACAACTTGACAAAACAGCATCTAAAAGTTCTATTAAACACTTCAGTCATTACCTCTCCTCCATAAGACACCAGCGGAGAGATCTCACATTTGATTGGCAGGTCTGTTCCATCTTTTAAGCTGCATTGGAAAAGATAGATGTAAAGAAGATCCAGGAGGATGAGGAACTGTCTCATAAAAAAGTCAGAAGGACAGTAGTGGAGAAAAGCAGCAGTAAATTCTTGAAACAGCTGTTCTTTTACTGAGCCTTGTGATTAGAGATAAAAGGCCAATCATCAGAGAGCCATCACAACCAGTGATTAGTCCCTTGACCCGTTCATCTACATCCTCCAGAAAAAAACAGATGAATGGTTGGTAATGTGTCTGTGTCTCCTCCCAGTCCTTTGCAGAAACTGGAAAATTTCACACAACACTGAAAGAACTCATTGTGCCCCCTTTCTAGATGGTTATTATAAACAGCAATCACAGATTCCACATCTGAAGTCTCAGATGTTTAGCTGAAGAGCAAAGAAAGAAGAAATCCCATTAAGAGTTATAAAAACATTCACCAAAAGAAAAGCACATGCTTGAATATCTCCATCTTAATAAGCAAAGTTTTAAACTTAAAGCAGACTATTTAAACAAAATCAGCAGGTTTATAAGATCTTGTAGAAAGTATGACTGGTTTCCATTTATCCAGCATGCCATGTACATGTATACATCTTGTATGTACACATATACAGTCATATGAAAACYTTTGGGTACCCCATTAATCTTTATCATTTTTATTTCTAAATATTTGGGTGTTCGCAACAGCTATTTCAGTTTGATATACCTAATAACTGATGGACACTAATATTTCAGGATTGAAAAGAGGTTTATTGTACCAACAGAAAATGTGCAATATGCATTAAACCAAAATTTGACAGGTGCAAAAGTATGGGCACCTCAACAGAAAAGTYACATTAATATTTAGTAGATCCTTCTTTTGCAAAAATAACAGCCTCTAGTCACTTCCTGTAGCTTTTAATGAGTTCTTGGATCCTGGATGAAGGTATTTTTGACCATTCCTCTTTACAAAACAATTCCAGTTCAGTTAAGTTTGATGGTCGTCYAGCATGTACTGATTTGATTTGATTTATTTATTTAACAGGAAAAGATTATTAAAAATCAAGCCTGACTCAGCATAATTGCTGTTTTACAGCAGGTT